TTAAAATGAAAATTACTTTGCATGATAGATAGGCATCATGTGAAAAGAAAAAAAGGCACGAGAAAAAAATTGCTTTACAAACCTTAAGGCTTAATATAAAAAATTAATATTTTGCGTATGAAAGCATTGTAATGTTTACTGATAATCTGCCAAATTTCATTAACAGTTGCGTACTAATTTAAAAGTTATAGCATGAAAACTATAACAAGCAAAAAATGGTAACGAGGTCAGTCCTAGAGACCAAGCCCATGATGAAAGAGTTAATAAAACATTATACCAATCTTCTTCATCTCAATCCCAGATACACACATCCTAAAACTTGAAAGAAGCACAGTAAATAGATAGTAGGGGCTCTAGCAGTTAATGACTTGTCTCTTTCATTGGTTACATACCACACAAAAGATTAATTAATAACAAGCTAGTTTCTTAACTGTTTAGACTCATAATTTTTGTACATTCTTCTGTTGATTATATGTATATATTATATTATATAAAGTTGCTGAAACCAAATGTTTTGATAGTTATATGTGCATTAATATTTTCATCAAATGTTCTTTGATGTACTAAAGGCCTTACCAATACAGTGGATAAATCTTTGGTGATGGCTTTTTTTTTGGCTCCACTTATGATTTTTTATTTAGGAGATGCCCTGTAGAGTTTAGGAGTACAGAATAACTTGAGAATGCTGTTATTGTTAATAATCATCACATTCAACGCATTCTATTGGTTGAACAAGAAAGTCTTCAAATTTATGACCAGGAGAATTAAAATGTTGATATTGTAAATTATTATACTGTTATATCTGTTCATTCTTCCAGGTGAAACATTGAATAGTTTTCCTCAAATGTTTCTCCTTAGATTGTCACAGCTAAGTAGATTCATTTTATTTTTTGTTCAACAGTGTAGGTTTGGTAAATTGTGATTATGAACCCCAAAGTTTTATTTTTCCTGAAAATAGAGAATGTATTTTCGTTAATGATGTTGCAACATGAGAGCAATTTATATGAATTTGGAATTGGGACCATGTACATTTGTGTTTAATCATTACAGTATTAAGGAAAATAATCTTAAAAAGAAGCCATTTACAACAATTTTTAATCAAATTGCTAGCCCTGTCAATCAAAATATTAACTTAACCAAATAGTGAGTAAACAAATCATTGTTACTCAGCTTACAACTACAGTATGAAAATGCGTATGCTTTCAGTGTCGCATGTTTTACTTACCGATTATATTCAAATAATTGTCTACAGATGATGAACAGATAATAAGTGTAATATTTTTAATTCTTCACTAAATTTTCAAGGTCTTTACTTGATTTTACCTGGTTTTAAAAATTAAATATACAGAGAAAATATATATACATTCACAGACAGCATTAAAAAGTATTGCATCAAAAGGTTCGTTATTAAATGATTTATTGTTGTAGTGGTAATTCAGCTTGTACATTTGTCTGCATAGTTGTGTTTGTTGTGTATGCATACTGCTGTTTATTGAAATACATGCCTTTAAAAAATCTTATAATTATCTTACTACAGTGAATAGATTTTTGTTACTCACAAAATTTTTGTACTTGAGATTTATTGAAGAAATACTTAAAGAAGTAAACCCTCACTGCAAAATAGTTCCTGCATTCAGTACCATTACATAGATCCTGTATTAGTGTTGGTTTAGCTCAGCTGTAAAAGATAAATACAATGTTGTAATGTGTTCTATCACTTGTTTCATTCGGCAGGTTCTTTTATTACATTACTTGGTGAAAATAATGCAAAGGTCGGATGGCAGGAGCTTAATCACTTCTATAATATAAAAAATAGCATATGAAAGTAAAACATAAATACTAATATACAATAAAAGCCATAAATTTTGTGCTAGTGTAATTTATGTCTATTAATAGTATGTGTAAGATAGTGTTATTAACAATAATCTAATTTTTTGCAGGTTGCAGTTACTTGTACACGGCACATGTAATTATTTTCAATGACAATCTGAAGAGGCCACAACTTAGCAGTCTTTGATCTGTGCATGTGTTCTGAACAGGAAGCGACTGTAGATATATTTTGTAAGTGTAGTTTATATCAGTTAACCCTAGAATTACTGATAAACTTTTTATATGCATTTTCCTAAAAGCTGCTTATGCACCAAATGGGTCCATGACTTTGTTAAGAGTCACACGAAAAAATTTAAGTAAAAATACTATCATTATTGCAGTAGACTCCACTAATTATTGATGGGTTACACTATAGATTTCACATAAAAAATGAATGATTTCACCCAAAAATGTTTGACCAGTTTTTTTACACGCTTAATGTTTGTAACATACAAACACTACTCAAAACAATACAGTATGTTGGCCCTACAGGCATTGAATGTGTCAGATATAAAAGACTGTTCAGTATGATAGTGTTATTAATTAATTTATTTTGTGTTTGTAATTCATTGATGTTGAGGCTGTTGAACGTTGTGTGCAATCCATTGATGTCGAAGCTATGGAGATTTCTAGAAGACCTAAGTGACAGACGTATAAATAGCTATAATCAGACAAGTAAATCAAGAGTAAAAGTAAAGTAATGTGAAAGAGAACTTTGGTTAGAGAAAAGTTAAAAAAAAGAAGTTAACCATCGTGGGAATGATTGGCATAATGGTTGATATGTTAGAGTTAGATTAACAGTTTGAAAGAGATAAGGAGAATAATTTGTATTGTCAAAAGGTGTTTTAAACTAATTGAACCCACCTGTGTGGACTTTAATGAAAGGCAGACAATTATTGGAAGTACGAAAAGTGGATTATTATTGGAACTTCAAGATACAACTGCAGTAACTCACATGACAATGTAAGTTAATTATATATGGATTCAATTGCAATAAAAGTAGAGAAAAATAGTTCAGCTTGTCAACTGAATTCTAAAGCTATTGAATTGGCCTAAGTGAACTTTTGACTGTATAGAGAACTGTATAGTGTAAAGAATTTTGTACATACATTTAACTTGTTTCGTATACATATATTATTTGAAAAACAAGTGGAGTTCTTGCTGTTTGTTCATTGTCAAATTTATCACCAACAAGTCACAGACACCTAAAAGAATCCTTAGCCCATCCCACCCATATATTTATGTATACTACTACTAAAAATTAAGTTCCCAACAAAATGATATACAAAACATTTGTTGATCTGGGGGATAAGAGGCTTTTTGTTACTGATATTAGCATAAGGCAACATTGGAATAAACATATTATACAATAAAGAACTAGCTTACTTTTACACTACATGATTTATTTACATCATTAGACTGGTTAGACTTGTAATGAAACAGCACTTTTATACCTCATCATCATCTATGCATGTAAAAGTAAAGGTTTCAGGTAAGGTTGCTTAACCACAGAATGTTATTACAAAATAACTCATAAAGTGATCAGGGCCATATTGTCAGTCATATAGCCAACTTTTACTTCTTGAAGAATGCTTATTGAAGAAAAAGTGACAGATTTATATGTGACAAAGGTTTGAAGTCTTTAATTTACTGTGGTGATAAGAACTATTAAATTCTGCAAACTATTTATGTATAGTTGACTTTTAAGAGTAAGAAACTTATTTTAATCTTGTTTAGAACTTTTTACTGTTTTTAATTTTGGCCCAGAAGGATATCAACATAATGGAAATAGTGCAGAGACAGGGTATTAAAATAATTCATGATACTGAATTCTATTCTGATATTTTAGATAGGGACTCCAATGCAGAATGGAAATCATTTAATAGAGCCATATGGGTGTATGTTCTGTTGTAGATATGCAGTTTAGATACCCACATTGGTCAGGAAATACAAAAATAGAAAGTAAGCAAAAAATCACTAGTGGTCAGAGTTTATATATTTATTTTGACTAATAAATTAATTTCACGAAAACAATCAACCAATAGAAATTAATGTTCCTGATTATTACCGTTTTTGATTATTCCAATAGCCAATTAATCGAAATTAAAATTAAACCAATTCTCACAAAAATAATCAACTAGTTAAAATTAGTTGTTGTTATTTCAAGAATCAATTAATCAAAATGAGTTAAATTTTCTGTTTTCAGTTGTTCCAAATATCCAAGTATATGAAGTATTCTTATTATGTATGTTTATTGTTAAGCAGAAAGTTACATAATGGGTGGTTCCTCTTCCCCAGTGGCTCAGCACTAATTCCGAAGACTTATAATGCTAAATACCAGGTTTCAATATTTGTGGTGGGCACAACACAAATAATCCATTGTGTAGCTTTGTGCCTAACTATAAGCAAACAAACATAACAGACACGTGTGGTAGGATGCTTTGTGATTTTGAGGGGTCTCAGGTTTTATTCCCATTACCACTATATTTGCTCAACAGTCTTCCATTATGATGCTATTACTGTTCTAAAGCTTTGTACCATACTCATGTTACCAAACAACATGCAAATTGTCCCATCATCAGTTATATAGTAATAAAAACTGAGACCAGATCAAGTATACTAGAACTCAGAAATCTATTTCTACCTGTAGTTGTCTTTCATAACATATGAAATATTTGTAGTAAAACAAGCTTCCTTTAACTATAGATCACTTTCTTGTATTATTGTAAGTTTTTGCTATGCTGTGTGTATGCGGGGAGTGTGGTTTGAGCATTTTTAATTGTATAAAACTGTCTGTATAGCTATTGTATGAATATTTGTTTAAATGCTGTTGGACATACTTTTTACTTGTTTCTTTAAATATCACAGTAAAAAGATTGAATTTCTTTTTCTTCTTTCTTCTGCATTTTTTTTAATTACATGATAATTCAAAAACCAAAACAATGATGTCAGACAATTTCACTGAGGTGACGTAGATTCAAATGGAGTATCTGCTTTTATAAGCATTATTAATAACTAGTAGTAATTTAAAAAAATTATAATTCTAGTGTAAACGATGTTATCATTACCACTTTAAAAAGCTTAAGTACAGGAATTACCAGCCAATAATAGATAAACAATAAATATTACAGTTGGAACCTTGTTGTATTTAGAACTTGGTTATAAATACTACCTTTCTATGTCTGTTGAAACACTGCATAAAAAAAAAAAACAAGTATAGAAAAAAAATCTTTTAAATAAAAGGAAGTAAATATAGGCATGGCTAATATTAATTCTTCAAAAACAGTGCAAACAAAATAGTAGGGACAGAAGTTATGTAAATTCATGATTAATGAAAGGTTATCTTAATACCCTTTTACTGTGCATGACACAAGGTTTTAGTGTCTTACATTCAAAATTTTATTATACTACTTTTTGTTTATGTTATACCAATTAGAATAGTATAAAATCTTAGCTAATAATCCATATTTTAATAGTATACAAGTTTTAAGTTCTTAATTATACAAGGAAATACATAAGAAAATCCTGAATTTCCACTAGTGTGACACATTTTTTCTTAGCATGTCATCATCCTTATTTTATCCATGACCCCTCGATAATGTACAAAATTAAACGTAAAATACACTATAAAATCGTTATTGCTCAAACAGACCATAATTTTTATAGCCTTCGATTTTGTTTGGTTACAGAGCTATCAAATAGAAAATCAGACCCCTCCTTCGATTTTGTTTGGTTACAGAGCTATCAAATAGAAAATCAGACCCCTCCTGCCACACCCACCTGTCACATCCTCTCTTTCACAATTCGTTGATAGTTCTCTCTTATGTTTCATTATATATTACATATAACCAATAGAAAGTCAAGGTTTTCATCTATTAAATGGCATGTTGTATAACGTTGTGTTCTGAACAGATAACCATCAGTTTCACTCAGAGTAGCGACATTGTTCCAGAGTGAAAGTTAACGACTAGCTTGGATGAATTTGTAACGGCTCTTGTCACATAGTTAGAAAGCCAGGAAAGTTTTTTAGAAGTAAGTGCATTTGTCTACTTTTTTGCATGTTATTAGTCTGTATTCTTTGGGGCATTATTTAATTAAATAAAAATTGTTAAGTGCTTTACTATAATCACTAAAAAAAATCAGGCTTAACTCTCCTCAACAATCGAGAGCAAGAAAAAAAGAATATTGGGTAAGTACTTTATTTCTTGTTTTTCATAGTTATTCTTTATTTATTATTATAAAAGTAACAAATTAAAAGTGTGGATCTTTTTAAGTTATTTAAGACTAGATTAGGTAAAATAAGTAATAATAATAATATAATTAAAATGGTTCACAAGGCATGCACACAAGCAGCTCGTGGATAATGTAATTCGATAGTATAACGTGAGCTGCAAGTTTTCCGAGTGATTTATAACTTATGATGGTGTGGAAAGTAGTTAGATACAATTCAAATGGCAATAAAAAGGGTAATAAAATTTAATTATAAATAGATGTATAATGTTACGAACTTAGAGGTACTTAGGATAAACAAAAGTAGTTTCACATTACAATTTGAAGTCATTCTAGAAAGAAAAGAAGGTTAATTTAGGTTTATTTCAATTTTTTTTCTTTTGATGGTTACATGCTTGGTCAAATTTACCAATCCCATTTTGAGATAGGGTAGAGAAAATAAAATATAAAATATATTTAGTGAAAAAAAATTTTTGAAATGCATTGAGGAGGTTTTAGGGAATACCCAAAAGAAATTTGAGATGACGAAAAGTATTTTTACTTTTAACATGAAAATTACTTTGCTCATGGACTATTACAAACAAATACTCTATATATTCATGGATAATTCTTTATTTTATTTTATCAAAAATATTTCACTAAGAAATATGACTTTTTATATGTGAAAGACTTGTAATAGTAACTGAAAGACTGCCAAATTTCGTGAAGATATGCCCAATATATATAGAGAGTTATAAGTATCAAATTTATCTCAACTTTAAACGAGTACAAAAGGTCACGTGACTCGGTCAAATTGATCGACCCTGTGTTGAGAGAGTAAATTAGGCATAAAGTTGCTTTCCTTATATATCACTGTAAAAAATGCTCATAAAAACTGCAAGATGCAAAATACTAAACTGAAAATTTGTATGCATCTCCACATGGACCTAATGAACTTCCATACCAACTTGGGTGATGATCCATCCACAAGCTGCGAAGTAGTTACATGCACAGACAACAGACAGTATTATCAATCACAATTGAGTTTAATTTATCCTATTTGTGTCTGTAAACATTCTATTACACAGTATGCCTGTGCTATTATGTAGGGATGATGCAAATGCCATACCTACTATCTTTTAGCATTGTTTTTGAAGAATTGATATTAGCCATTCCTACATTTACTTCCTTTTTTGAAAAGTTTTTTCTTTAGTTGTTTTTTAATGCAGTGTTTCAGTAGACATAAGAAGGTCGTATTTATAACCAAGTTCTAAATACAATGAGATTATAACTGTAATATTTATTGCTTATCTGTTATTGGTTGATAATTCTTGTTTCACTCTGTACTTAAGCGTTTTAAAGAAACACCAAATTTCTGTAAGAAAGCAAACTTCAAAGGGTAATGATAACATTTATATTACCATGTAAATCTAAAGACTGGTTTTTGCAGTTGTTTATTGTGCAGTAAAATACTGTGTGGAATATTGTCATTCATACACAAGTATTTTTTGTTTAAGTGTAATTTTACACCAAAACACAAGAACCTAATGACCTTGTTCTAATTTTATATCTTCCCCCTCTCTCCTTAGGAGGTCAAGCCATAAGTTTAAGGACTTATTGTGTTAAAATCCAGGTTTCAGTTCCACTCAGTGAACAAAATGCAGGTAGGCAGATAGTCCACTGTGTAACTTTCTGTTAAAACAGTTTGATATCTTTATAGAGAATGCATATGTATCAATGCAGACATAGTTTTAAGTATTAGCACAACATACATTGTCATGAAATTGCAAAACTTGCATTAAAAAAAAAGATACTTTGTGTAATATTTTAAGTATTTATAATTGAAATGATTACATCAATGCTTAGGTAGATAACCTGTGCCTAATCAAGTGTAATATTACAAACACTAGCATTGGCTTCAGCCATTTGGTATTAGATTAACATACTTGAGGCTTGTTTACATTGATCTTGAGCTAACTTATTGTAGACTACCTCTACACTATTGCTAACTGCTTAACCATTTATAAAGGTGCTGTACTTTTTATTTTATTTCATTAATATTATGTTTATATAATCAATTGTGGAAAAGTTGTGATTTGATAATCACTCTGATTAGAGAGCATTAATTACTACTAATTAACAGGATATCAAAAAAAAAAAATAATTGGAAGTCAGAAAACCTTTTAATTTAATTTGAAGAATTTCTAGTTTTTCTTTGCTATCATTATACACATATATGTACTATTATAGTTTTTTTAAATAACTGCATATCTCGGCAAATTTAGTTTATGTTGTATGGATAACTATTATGTATTTAAAGTTACACAATATACCATATTGAAAGTTTATACAGTTAATTTTAATACATGACTTTTTTCATAATAAAGAAACATTGTTTTTTTTTGTAGACTTCTTTTATCCAAAAGAATTTGTCCGTTTTGACCATATTTCTTGTAGAAAAGTTGTCTGTTAATGTTATTTGTGTAAATGTATAAGAATGAAATTTCATTTAACAGGAAATGAGAAGAAGACAGCATGAAGATGCTATCTTGGCCATAATAAGTATCTACACAGCGGGTGTCGCTTTCTGCTGTATGGGATTAGTTTTGTTCTTCTGTTTGAATCATGTTTTAATCACAGATGAAACCACCCTTTCTTCATTTTCAGCATACAGTAGAAATGGATGTAAGATGTATATTTTTTATTATACTTGTGCCACTTGCCTCTCTGTTTTAACTGTTTGAAGTAATGAATAGTCCAAGTGTTATGAAAATATATACCTTTAATAAAGTTTGAGACTTTGGTATGAGTAAATTCAGATTTTTTTAAAATTCATATTGTCTGTTTTTATTTCAATCAGTAGAAGTTTCATAGATTCTACAGGCATTTAAATATTCATACAGATCACATAGAATGCTTTAAGACTTCTTATGTACACGCCGTACATTTTAAATGTTATTATTTTTTAATTATTGTAGCCAAGCCATTGCGTCATCTGTTGGAAATTTCTAGTACCAACTGCACTCCACCTGGAATTGAACAATTTCCTCAACCCCTTATGAGATATGAAGTACGAAGGGCAGGAGGATTAGCATTACACATTTTTGTTGCTCTGTATATGTTCCTTGGCTTGGCTATAGTTTGTGATAAATACTTTATGTCAGCTGTAGAGAAAATGTGTGAAGGTATGCAGCTATTTTTTATTGGAGATTTAAATAGAAACAATGAATATCTGCTTTTCAAGTGAACTTGACTGATGAGTACTTTGCATAAAGTATGACAAGCATAGGTAAAAATGTTCTGTTGAGTACATACGTTAGTTTTTTTTGCCTTATAGTCTTCAGAGTATATGTCCATTATCCTTGCATTTATGAATGTTTCTTGTGACAAGTTATCTCTATTTCAGTTATAACATTGTGCATTATTCTTTAACTACAGTTTATAAAATCATAGAATATATATATATATAAAAGAATTAATGAAATACCATTAATCTAAATTTTTTTATTTTAATATATATGTATTTTTAATGACAGTGTTTAAAATGAAATCTGATGTTGCTGGGGCAACTTTCATGGCAGCTGGCAGCTCAGCTCCAGAACTAGCAACAGCTGTTATAGGTGTTTTTGTTGCTAAGGTGAGTTTAAAAAAAGGTTACTGACGTTCATACAATTTTATTTAAATACCAACGAACATTTAACTAAACAAGTAATACAGAAATGACATATCTGATGTGATGTATTTGACCCTCTTGCTATAGGTATCCTTTTCTGCATATCATAAGTTTCACTGAGTTACATTCAAAATTGAATTAAACTGCTTTCTTATCATGATATACAAATAAACTTGGCATAAAAATGTAGATAATAATTCAAATTTTATTATTATATGTTTTAAGTTCTTAATTTTATAAGCCAATACAATAAAACAAAATCCTGAATTTCCCCAAGTATGAAATTGTGACATTTGCTTTCTAGGTAATCCCTCTTCTCTAATTTATTTACCACTCTTCTGAAAAGTATGAAACTTAGCATGAATTACTCATTATAATATTCTCATTGTTCAGGCTTTGTTCATTTTTATGGCTTTCAAACTTATTTGATTTCAGAGCTATAAAATTGAAAATCAGACCCCTCTTGCCATGCCTGCTTGTCACATCCTCTTTTTTACATATTGACATTTAATGTTATATTATTTAAAACCAATAAAAAGTCAAAGTTTCAGTCTATCAAATGATATATTATGTTGTTTGCTCTACAGAGAATTGTCTATTTTACTTATAGTTCAAATTGTATTCCCAAGTCATAAATGGTACAAGTGTATATTATATTTCTACATGTACTGTCCAGTTGTTTGTATGAAAACAGCTTTGAACAGTATAAATAGTTTTGTTTTATTGTAGATGTCAGGTGTAACAGATACACTAATGAAACAGACTATATGTTTCCTGCATGTACATTGCATCAGTAATAACATACACATGTTAAGTTTCCTTTATTATTTTTGTGTGTCCAGTTGTTTGTATGAAAACAGCTTTGAATAGTATAAATAGAGTTTTGTTTTATTGTAGATGTCAGGTGTAACAGATACACTAATGAAACAGACTATATGTTTCCTGCATGTACATTGCATCAGTGATAACATACACCTGTTAAGTTTCCTTAATTATTTTAATTTTTGTGTGTCCAGTTGCTAGTATGAAAACATATTTGAATGGCATAAATGTATTTTAATGATGTTTGATTAATTCCAATGTTCAAAGCTTTTACAATTCATAACTTTAACAGAAGTTTAGAAAATGATATTATGTTGCAATATTGTTGGAGTTAATTTTACTTTTAATGCATTTTTTTTAAAATTACATTTTGTTTAGTGAAATTAGTTTTTCTAAACATTTTTCAATCATTTTGTAGCTGAATTTTTCTCAATTTGTCAAAAGTATTCTGAAGACAAAAGTGCTATTTCCTCAAGAACTAATCTGAAGTACCACTATTCATTCAAAATCAAATGGTATATTAGATTCATTGAACAATGTTTCTCAACTTGGTAAAGATATTTTTGTCTTCCTTATAAACCTAGGACGACATTGGTATTGGTACAGTTGTTGGATCAGCTGTATACAACATAGCATTTGTCATCAGCATCTGTGGACTTTTTGCTGGAAGGGTATGCCTCTTTTATTGATTACTTTGAGTTATACTATCTAAACTTGGTGAAGAACAATGAAGCATTTGTTTGTGGGAATGCTTCTCTTCAAAATATAAAGTAGAAGTGTATGTATTATTTTTTTTTGTGAAGAAACAACTTGCACGTGTTATACTTGGTGTAAAAATTAATTGTGGTTTTAAAGTTTGCATTACAACATAACTATTGGTGTATGTTCCCAGATACCCACGAGCATGATTTTTTTTGAGTTCCGTTTTTGATTTATAATAACTTACACTCAGTCAAGTTTCGATTCTTTACCTATTACTGACTTTTCTATTTCTATTGTTCTTCCTAACTTTGCAACGTAATACCATAAGTTTTCATCTTATGTATGTTACATTTTACTAGTGGTTGAAACTGAGTATTTCATGCTTTTTATTTCATTTTCACATATCAGTTCTTTTTGTGTCAGAACATCACTAACTACATCATCTTTCAGATATTTTTTTTTCTTTTCTTGCATGGTCTAATTTTTTGTAATATGCAATTTATCAAAACCATTTGTTGTAACTTAAAAAACAATTAAATGTATGTATATAAAATGTTCTAAAATCATAAGTGCATACAATATATGGGGCTTGAAATTAAAGCTAGCAAATTGCTGGTTGTGTTGGAATTTTGCTAGTAATTATTGCAAGGCACTAAAAAAAAATGTCTACTATACATTTCAGAAGGATGATTCACAGATTCTTACTTTTGAGTATCAATACCCATGTTACATGCAGTTTAATCCTTTATATTGCAAGATTTTGAGCAGAAGGTTACTATAATTATTTATTACAAGATTGTTTGATATGCTGGTGCCTTGCTAGTTTTGTGATCCCATTTGACCTGCATGATATACCCAGACTAAGTGTTGGAAAATGAGGATAACAAGATTGCAGCTTCAACTCATTTGATTGATGGCCAAAGTACTTAGCAGATGGGCCAGCCCTGGTAGCTGCACTTCCGAGTCAGTGAGTACACATGTGCATTCTAAATCTTGCAGAAAAGATGTTTTTTTTGCCAATTTTTCATGTCTGCAAAATCATAAAAAAGAAAGGGATATTTTTTTTCCAACACTGATTTCAATTGCAGAAAAGGGTATCATTTAAGCAGCTACCCAATGCCATATCTGAGGCCTAATGATTGTTCCTAGGAGTTCATGAAATTCTAATATGATTTATTTTTATTTTTAACCATTTAAAACTATTAAGAATTAACTAGTAACAAAAACGAAGTTTGGACAACTGTTCTATTGTCATCATCAGTTTTTTGTTTATGATTATGTAGTTTACTAGTCATGCCTGCTAATATTTGGGTCAATCTTGGATTATTTTGTTTTGATAAGTCAGTGTTGGGTTCTTGACAGTCACCTGGCTTGAAGTTTTAGTTCAGATTTGGAAATTATGTTACATCTTATGTTCAGTGAGTAATGAATAAAGGTGTCTGCTTTTGTTGGATATTTGTCCTTTGTTCTTACTTAATTTTATATGCATGTTTTGTGCTTAACTGAAGCTTATTTGTTGTCAGTTGAAAATTAAAAGACAATATCGTTGTACTGTTTCTTCATCACCAAAAACCAATTTAAACAACTAGTTCTTTGAAATTAATTAATTCAGCATATAAACAGGAAACTTTGAGTGTTAGTTTACCAAGAGAAGTAATTTTCTACATGTGTTTGAGTTCTCTGTACAAGATAATCCTAAATGCATTATCCTTTTGACAGTTAAACTTGTAAGATATTGTGTATGCTATATGTGTAAACAGCGATAGCAGAAAGGAGATAGAGCTACAATCAAGCTTAGTGATATCTTTTATTAAAATGTTGGAATTTTTTAACAAATGGGTTTATTTTTTAAAACAATTGACATTTTAGTGATAAAGGTAGTCAATTTTGAGCAAAAATTAAATAGAAAGGGGTATTTTTTCACTTTGAAAAACTTGCATGTATACTCTCTGACTTGGGTAGTGTTTGTACCAGGGATCCAGCTGACTACACTTTCACCACCTGGCTTTTGCTGCAGTGTAGTTCTGCTGGCAACAAAATACTTTTCTGAAGTAGTTCATTGGAGGTAATAATAATATAGAATTAACATAAACTGCAGATGTATTTCTTTCCATATTCCTCTTAATTTGTCAGTGATTAACACACATTTTAGGCCTTTTGGCTTCTTTTTCTTCACCAGCCTTCAGTATTTAAACAGTAACTTTTAATAATAATATGCTTTTTAACTATAGCATGACTGTCAGCAGTGGAGTACTGTAAAATTTAATCAATTCAAGTACTCATGATATACATGAACCATTTTCCTCCCAAGTCGAGCATCTTTTTAGCTTTTGTGAAACAGGTAAAATAAGAGCACTATTACATGTAATTAAAATGGGGGTTTGACAGTCCAAAACATTTGTAAAGCAAACACAACACACAGAAGATTTATACTTATAAATATGGTATATACATAGTTATTAACATTAAATACGTGAAATAACAAACTGTGACACAGTTATAGTTAATTTCAGATAAGAAATAATGTTGCTAGTAGCAGTCTTGAATTTGTTTCTGTGGAAAAAATAACTACCTACCATTTGCTAGTGCCTTCAAAAGTTAGTCAAACTTGATAAATTGTATGTTAATATAGCATTTTTTTTTCCTTCTGCATGTACTGTTTTTGTTTTTAATTTATAGGATATGATTTATAATAAAACTTAAATATATTTCAAGTTTGATTATAAATTTGTAATACTGAGGTACTGAAAATATTTTAGATTTCTTTACATGTAAATAAACAGTGGGACCGATAGGCAACATTTGTGAAAGGTTAAAGTAAATTCACCTTGCATTATTCAAGATAGGCAACATTTGTGAAAGGTTAAAGTAAATTCACCTTGCATTATTCAAGAATGTATAGATAGCATGTATGAAAGACCTTATACTGTTAGTGTCCTCATAGTAAGCCAAAGAACAATTTTTCTTTGTTTGGTTTATTATCTAACCATACGTTGCAGTTACAGCTGAAGCATACAATTACTAGCATTCATTGTTATACTTACTTGTGTTAGAGATGGGGTCTGAATTATACTTTCTATCTTTTCTGAATAAATTACTGTCTAATAATACTTCAGTTTTCATGCTTTGCAGATTTTTATAATATATAAAATACATCTATATTTTACTGTTATTTCTAATATATATATATATATATGAGTATGTACTATGATATAACCAAAAGCAACAATAACTGTTGATGATCACAGTTACTGTTCTATTAATTTCTGAAAAAGAGTAATAGAGTAATCAACTGACTAGAAGTTTTAAATTTGTGAAGCTAAATGTAGAATCTTTATGATTAATGTACATGAAACATTAAAAGTGTGTGGTAGGTACTTTCTAAATAACTACTTATCTGGAAGCATAAGAATTTTGTCCGTATAAAAGAGAATTTATTTTATCATAGTGTCAAAAAATGTTCACAATGTGAAAGTTCTCAAGTCATGATATATCTTAAACTGTGATATAACTTGTTTTGTGGTCTTACTTGTTTTTTAGTCTCACAAAATTATAATTAAGAACATTGTACTGTTTTTTTAGCTTTCATACATGTTTCTTGGGCAGGGTATTGTGGTTAAAGGGTACTAATGTGAAATAAATTTCTTGTGGCAGGAGATTTATCTGAATTGGTGGCCATTATTTCGAGATTGCTTTTTCTATCTTATAAGTATCTTTACCCTGTTATGGACTATTTATAATGAAGAAGTTTCCTGGTAAGTAATTCATACAAATATCTATTTTATCACTTACTTATAGATGTCTTATAATTAAATTGCTGAGTTAACTGCTTTGAATTGTACAACTGTAGTAACATGTATATAGTTGATCTCAAAAGAAACTTTAAGTTTTGTTTTAAAGTATATCTATTTTTTGTTTTTTTTTTGGTCGCCAGTTATTTTTAAATATGCAATGAATATTCATCTAACTTCTAGGAATTTATTGGTTACAGTGGTGAGCAGATTCTGACTAAATCCCATCCAGAATATAATAATGATGCATTTGTAATTAAGAAATATTATGTTTAATAAAACACACTTTTGATCTTTGTTTAAAAAATGTTAGGGCTAAGTCCTATAGCTTAGAAGCTATTTACCACTTTTTCTCAAGTGATATGGCATTACTTTTAATATTTTCTTCAACAAAGAACTAAAGATAGTATTGATCACTTTTGGAAAAAATCTTGGGGAACTATTTACAAAAATAGAACAGATAGAAAAGGGTGACGTTCCATAAGACTTCTGTATTTCATATTCCCCATCCCACCATCCCTTTTAAGCTGTTGGGGAGGTATAATGTGATGGTGAATCCCACTATTCATTGGTAAAAGAGTAGCCCAAGAGTTGGCTGTAGGTGGTGATGACTAGCTGCCTTCCCTCTAGTCTTTCATTGCTAAATTAGGTGTGACTACCAAAGATAGCCCTCGTGTAGCTTTGAGCAAAATGCCAAACAACCAAAGCAAATACAGGTTAGGTTGTGCTGGTTATGTATAGTTTTATATGTTACTTGGGAGGATTAAGGTGGATGTCGTGGAACTCTTTCGAAATGTTGTCCTTTTCCCATGTGTGTTACGTTTGTAGATTAATCCTCCATGATTTTTTCTACAAGGCAGTTGCTCCACATTTTCTCTTTGTTTGTTCATCATGATGACTACCTAAGTTATCTGTAAAATAATATCTAAAGAAAATATTGTTTCTGGTTTATGAAAGTGGCGACACCAAAAACTAAAAGTAAGCTGAAATTAACTGAAAAGCTAAAACCTTGCAGCTTTATTTTATTTTACATTCTCTTTACTTAAAAATAAGTTTAAGTACAAATTAGATGTAAAAGGTTAGTGTTATTTTATGAACCCGTAGATTATGAACTAAATACCAGATTGATCATTATTCCACTTAAAACTTCAGAAAGCTTCATAAATGTGTAAAACCATCAGAAAAATTGCGACAGATATTTAATTTGCTTTAAACTGGTGCTTGTGTAAGTCACTAGGCTTAGCATGTAAATTTTCGATTTAACTTTAATGAAAAAGAAAATCTTGTTTAGTTGATTTTGAAAATTTTTATCATTTAAATTGTTTCTCTCTACTATGTGGATTGTATTATTACAACACCATATTTAGTGTCATCTTTATAGAAAAATTTGGATCTTGTGAAGAAAAATGGATACATGTTCCATGGATCAAGGAACAATATTTTATGTTGGTCCTTTAGCTCTGGATGTATAATAAACTTTACATTGTCTACCTACTGTAATGTGACAATCGTTTTTGTTTTATGTTCCATAATATATAATGTGTTATTCGGGCATCATATATATTTCTTTGGATTTGTGAATTTAGACATGAGATAAATGTTATGGCTTTTTTAATTTTTATTGGTCTTCTTTTTATAAATAATTGTATTTTTGTCTTATGCAGGATAGAGTCTGTGGTGTTGTTGAGTTTGTATGGAGCTTATCTAGCTTTCATGTTTGTCAATGAACGGGTGGAGAAATGGGTTAAAAATCTATCCTGCCCATGTGAGTTATCAAAGCATAATTTTCAAGAGAACTCTCATAATGTGGTATATAAACGCCTCTGTGATGATGAGACGGTGGTTCTCGCTGAAGATATGGAGAAGAGTGATGATAATGTAAATGGAGGTATGAGAGGTTTCATTGAAATGTAAAACATTAACACTACACATAGTTAGCTGTTGATAATCCAATTATTCCATATGTTTACTAATTTAACATATCTGATTGCTGTTTTATATAGTTGTTGATTTTTTTGTTAACATACTATTTTTTATCTATATGATCTGTTATTTTTGAGTTAATTGAAAATTTAGTGTTTGTCAAATACAAACAGACTTGAACTTCATAATTTTGAGCTTTTTGAAGCTTATGTTTATTAGCATAATAGCTTATGTAATTAGCAATCGATGACAATCCTCAGTTCCACGTTTATGGAAATACATTACACCTTTCTATTAGTATCAGTGTCAAATTCATATAAACTTTACATTTATGTAAATGAATCAAATATTTATAAAGTTTATCTCTTTTACAAGAATTCTCCTTTACCATAAAGTTCTTCTGGGCTTTTCTCCCACCCAATTTCGAAATGTTTGTGTGTGTTCTCTTTGCCTCACATGTCACACTAGATTAATCGGTTTCAGTTGGAAGTGTTTCTGACAAATGAGTATATCCTACCTGCTTACTTATGTCTGAATATCTGATTACATTTTGATTTTCACCTCTGTTGCTAGGATAGATTTTTGTCATGCTATTCCATAGAGTTTTATTATTATTATATGGTTTTTACATTTTCAACTTAGTAATTTACATGTTTGGTCAGAAATTGAGAATTATTTCTATTATCAACAATTGGATAGGGGATACATTTTAGGATTTTCTGTCTGGAAGCTATAGGTGTCTCATATCTTGTATGCAGAGTCTATTCATCATTTGTCAACTTGCCATATACTGGAGTAATGATTCGTATGGTGTATCATACTGTATTCTATTCACACAGAATTTTTGTTAACTAAGTAGTCACTCTAACCCATTGTGCTTTGACATTTTTATCAAGTGTTCAGTCACCCTGTATTTAATACCTTTGCTGATACTTGGAATTAGAGTTTTAAAATTTTCATTTGCATAGTTGATTCCCTGTCTCAAGATTAAAACATCTTTTCCTGTATGCATTTCCTCTAATTTACTATATCACAAGTTCTCCAAAAATTTTGTACCTCTATAGACATTTCAGTGTTTTTGTTTCCTTTAGAGCAAGATATCTTACACTAGTTGTTTAACTCTCTCATTATGGGTAGGTCAAAGTGCTCATATTATGACCTTTTATACAGTTAAATTCAAAATTTAGTTAAACTTCTTTATTATATGAATAAATTTGACTTAAAATGGATTCTGATATGCTATCTTGCCTACTCTTACAAAAAAAGCTTTCTCGGCTAGTACAGCCCTCTATCAGCACAAACCTTTCGCCTGCCACTAGCCTTACAACTCCTACTTTCTTCTGCATATCAACATGTAAAGGATTATGCAGCAACCCTCCATCAATGGGAGAGCGACACTACTTCTATCATAACTAGTGCCCTCTCTAATCATGCACTTGTTAACCACTTTTTGATTGGCAGTCTTATTGTGCAGACATATTTGTTTTTCCACACATTTTTACTTTCGGGTATTTTTCTAATTCAGTTAGTGTCATTTTTCCATTTTTTTTGTGGAGAGTTGCATTATCTACTCTCCCTTTTCTATTTTTTGTTCTGCTGTTCCTGCTACAGCAGATTTTTACCAACCATGTGTGTGGTGTAAGTCTCATAGTTATTGGCTGCTTATGTGATGGCTATAATCTGTATAAATCGGGCAACATTCTGAATAACCTGATGAGTGTCCTGTCATACTAGTGACAAGGTGTGTGTGTGTGAATGGGTTGATGTGACTTTGGGCAGCCATTTTCCCCTTCCTGAATATGTTTATCTGTCATGTGTTATTTTGGGGGTCTTACCTAGACTTCCTTCTTCCTTTGTAGTCTTGATTAATCAGGTATGTTGTATTTTGTCTTTGTTTTCTTTAAGATTCTACCCATGCCATCCTAGGGGATTAATCTTTGGATCATTCTTTTGTTTTTCTACTTACCCAGATATTGGGGTTTTTTGCTAGTCACTTTGGATAACATTTGCATTTGGAGGATCGATATTTCTTTTCCTCCATGTCGTTGGCCTATCATGTTTTTACTTTAATAGTTCCAACTATCCATAGATAAACTTGTACCTGTTAAAATTATTCTTCCTGTGTGGGGTTCTGACCCTGATACTTTGGTTAATTTTTCCTACCTCCATTTTCCCATATACTTCTTACAATATCCACTATTATCTGTGTATTATCCTCCCTTTACTTTTTTGGCTGAGGGTATTCATATTTTTCATTAAGGGCTTTCTGTTGATCATGATAGTCATTTTTTTTGTCTCCCATGGCATGCCTTTCCTCTTTGGCCCTTGTCATGAATATTTTATTATTGTTTAATTTTTGTTATACTAAGAGTTAAAAGCAGACGATTGTAGGAAGTTGTGTTTATAAGCCATTGATGTTAAGACTATTGAATGTCGCGTGCAATATTTGATGTCGAGAATAGAGATTTCTAGAAGGCAGGCAGATGATTAAGTGATAAATATATAAATAGTGTGAGACGAGCAGAAACAGCAGACAGACAGTAGTAGAAGAAAGTAAAGTTACAGGCAAGGAAAAGTTTGGTGTGAAGTTAACTACTGTAGAAGTGATAGGCCTAACAATTGACATATGCCTAATGTTTAATATGTAATAGAGTAAGACTAACAATAGAAAAGGAGATAAGAAGAAGAAGAAGAATTATTCCATCAAAGCATGGTTCTAAAGTAATTGAATCAGTCTGAGTGCACTTTGACAAAAGGGACAGAGGATATTTAGAAGAAAGAAGACCAAACGATTACAGTAACCCGCACCACAATTGTAAGTGAATCTCACACAGAATACTAGTGCGATAGTAATAGAGAAGATAGTACAGCTTGTCAACAGAAACTGTAAAGTAATTGAATAGCCTAAAGTGGATGCTTGACAAGAAGAAGAGCACTATGCATATAGTGTTTATAATATGCCTATAACATCAATAGTGTGAAGAATTTGTTGTACATACATTTAACTTGTTCATTTATTGTTGAATTTATTGCCAAGAGGTCACAGACATCTACTGTAGAAGAATACTAAACCCAACAACAATGCAGTATATATTTATAATATTAAGAAGTATAAGTAAAAGCCTTTTATTTTGACAATTGGCAAAAGAATAATATATCTTAAATTCTGACAGCCCTTGTTTTACAGATGTGGCGGCTCTGTTGTTGGATTTTTCTAGGTCTGGATACTGTTTTATTTAGAGTTTGTCTACTCTACTCTTCATTGCATGAATTGCACATGACACCTTTTTCTACATCAAGAGGTGTTTGTGAGTTTTCTTTGTCAGTTTACCAGCATAGGTGGTTCACTTAATGCTGTTGGTTTATATGCCTAGGTTATCATCCTTCCCTTTCTACCATTCCTCCAATGCCATTCTTTTTCACTTGGCTTTATGACTGGGACCTGCCGGATTCCTTTCTTGCGGGTTATAAGGAGGTTTTGTCTTCCACTTTACTGTTTACCGAAATTGCTTCTGTGTTCCAATCTCATGTACTGTCTATGTTATTTCACTCATTCTGCATTGCTCGTCCTCCCTGCTCTGATTCTCTCCAGGATTGCAACCTCAATGTTGTCCTTTATGCTCTTACTCGTCCTCCATTTGAATCTTTGTCATCATGTTTGTTATATTACTTTTCTTTGCTGTCCCTGTTCCTCATATTATTGGCATATGTTCATCTTCTTTCTGAAGTGTCTACGATCAGGTTTTGCTATATTTTGTTCCATAGTTCCTGAACATTCTTTTATGCCCAAGACTTTGGCTACTTGGGAGAGTAATCCTGATTTCTCTCCCCATACCCTTTCCTCTATCTCCCACCTTTTGGACCATTTTGATCTTGGCCTACTATTTTGCCTTATCAGGGCCCTTAGATGGTATGTGATACAAATTGCATCCTTCTGTGGTTCTTAGGTCCGTTGATATCTTCATTGGAATCCTAATATTTCTTATGACTTTTTCTCATTCCTCTTGTGGGTTGGATTTGACAGCCACTTTGCCTGGCATATTCTTCCTCTTCTCTGTCCTATTTTTTGTGTTTTTCCCTTCAGATCTGTCACCTTACCTTGTCCCTGGCTGCCTTTTTCCATCTTCCCTTGGTGGACATCGTTAGGGTGGGTATGTGGACTATACTAGATGTCTATCACATTGAGACTCTTCCTATTGTGGACCTAATATACAATTCCAGATGTCACTAGTTGTTGGTTGATCAACTCTTCAACGTGGTACCTCTGCTTTTCAAAATAAGTCAAACTCCCATTTACAGTCTGTCACAACCTAGTCACTCAACACCTGGGGCTCCCTTTCCTGCTGAAAATTTTTGGGGTCCCAGTTGGCGAAACATTCCTGAAGGGCGAAGAATATACCTGGCTCAGAAGTGGTGTGGTCTTCCACTGATGTGATGTTTTTCATTCCTTACCACACCTCATTGTCTTTCTTTGGGTGCTTTCTCATGGAGGATCATATTCTCACTGGCCCTTCACCAATTCATTGTGGGATTCTAGTATTTTCTGAGATGAAGTAAGATATTGTATCATAAGTTAACATTTTCCTAAACTGAAAATGTATTTCTGATATTTGCCACCCTTCACATTTCTCTCCCATCCTCCCCACTTCTGGTGTGATTTGGTTCAATTAGCTATGGCCAATATCGAAGTGATTAACAAGTGCATGAGAGGGTGCTAGTTATGATAGTGGTTGTGTTGCATTCCCATTGGTGGAGGGTTGTTGCATAATCATGTATATGTTGATATGCAGAAAGAAGTGGGAGTTGCAAGACTAGTGGTAAGTAAAACAATTTTGCCTATAGAGGGCAGTACTAGTCAAGACAGCTATTTATAACAAAAATGTGGCTTAAATGTCAATGGCAACCAACAAGAAAAAACAAGAGGTCAAACATAAATGCTGTATTTCTTGTTTTTAGGTATATTTTTAATAACTGAAATGTAAAAATTACAAACTTATTAGGTAAGATAATGATAAATAATAATAATATAATTTCTCCATGAGGTATGCTTGCAAGTAGTTCATGAATTATATCGTTCAGTATGGTAATATGAGCTATGTGTTTGCCGAGTTATTTACAATTTGTATTTTGGGATTGTTTGTTAAAAACAGATGTGGACTGTTACAAGCCTTAAGCTATTTAAAATATACAATTGTAGCTTTAAGTTACAATCTGCAGTCATTTTAGAAAGAAAAAAGGGTTATTTTAAATTTATTTCATATATTTTCATGATGGATACAAAGTCTGTCAAATTGATTAAGTTCATATTGAGTTATGTCACGTATTAGAATTTCAAATAGTCTGAAGCCGAGTTAACTGATAGTTTAAATTTAGTAATTGAACTGCATTTTGGATTTATTATTTAAATATATGCCAATATATTAGTCAATTTACGATATTTGCCAACAAGATTGATACACACCATTTTTGTTTTAAACACAAATACATTTTAATATACACACAACCATACAATTTACAATAACAATTAATACAAATAGTTATTACAAACAAAGATTTATAAACAAAAGTTTTGCAAACTTACAAACACTATAAAGTTTTCTTTCTTGTCCAGAATTTCCTTGATATCTTATTGAGGGTTTACAATGAGCGAGTTAATTACAAGTTAATGTAAGTACGATTTGCTCTCCATGATGAAGTGATATGTTTTCATAAAAATATTAATGTCCAATAAGAATCCACTGAAGTTAAACGATTTGTAACGTTCGTTATAAAAATCAGTTATAGCTTTCGAAGTTTATAGCAAACTGATTATAGCGAACTAATAATAGACACTCTCCTTGGCGTGGCGTGTCGGTTATATTTATAGCCATGGGAAAGTTTTCTAGAAAATTCAGTCTTGCGTAATAATACTGAGCTACATTTAAATGTTTACGTATATAGATATATTGTTGATTGTTACTCTCGAGAATCTTCTATAACTTTGGAGAATAGGCGGGAGTTTCTCAATACATATCTAACACTATAAGCTATGCATGTTTTTGAATATAAATTTAATCTAAACAAACGATGTGAAAATAAATATATAACAACAAATTAGTTACAGTTAGGATAGATAAAATATAAAGTTTTACTGTAAAAACATTGGATATTTATTTAGGAGGTTTTAGAGGTTACAAAAATGAAATTTGAAAATTTTCAGAAGAAAAGGACAAAGGATTTTTAGTATTAACATGAAAATCACTTTGCATTCAGAGTAGTCAACACTCTAACTCCATGTAATTATGGACAAATCTTTAGTAAAGATATTCAAGTAAAAGACTGATGTTTTGTATACAAAAGACATGTAATGTTAACTGAAAGCTTCCCAATCTTCGTGAAGATACACCTGTCACATTAAAAGTTATAGTATGGAAACTGATTACTTTGTGGTTACAATGTTGGTTATTGACCAACCAAATATGGAAAGATTTAAGTACACCCAGCATTAATGGCATCCCATGCAAGGGGAATGTGCCACCATTCTCATTTGTTTGTTCCATTGAAATTGGAATTCAGCATCGGCTCCTTTGATTCATCTAGACATAAGATGTATTTGACTCTGACATCTTGACACTTGACCATGTTAAGTGACACTTTTACTAAGGACTTTTTCACTGTACCTTTAAGGTTTGCTTTGGGACTGACTTAAGTACATGTTTGAAAATATTTGTTCGTATTGAATCATAACTCTTTCACTATTATGGGTACTTCTGTAACTCTCTAGAGCACTGCCATCATGTGTGTTTGGAATTTTGTACCATCATAAAGAAATGGTATTCTCCTCTAAACTTCCAAAGGCTTACCAGTTTCAGGTAACTAATGAACTATTAAGATGTGTGTTTTTGTTTTTATTGTGTATCTATATATAAACCTAGCAGTAAGAGAGTTGTTTGTTTATAGATATTAAAATATCTTCCAGTGGGTGAACAACTGGAGCAATTTGTGGTCATGACTTCCTGTGTAGACACACAACATCATTATAATAGTATGATCGTTTTTTTTTCTTCACCCATTAAAAGCTGTAATGTGAAAAGTATTAGTAAGTTGTGGGCAAGTATGTTTATCTCCAACCATTGTAGCGAATGAATTAAACTGCTCAGTATGTTATTGTAAGAGCTCTACAGATCTTTCTTATTCTCAGCATTTAACATGTTCTTCCTTTCAGTTGTCTCTGTGTGCCTGTATCTCAAGCCACATGATATTTCAATTACAGTGATGCCAGTTTTTATTGTTTATTTCTTTCTCAGTACTTCTTTTTCTGATCATAACCTCCACATTTTTTGGGATTAGAAGTTATGGAAGAAGAGAGATCTGAAGTTTATAACAAAATATTTTATAAATAAAGCAGTATTAAGCATTAAGTAAAGAGAAGGGAGATTATATTAAACAAAGAAACTAAAACCTCTGTATCTTGGCAATTAGCCAATAGAGTGGCATAGAAGCTATGGTAGAAATATCCAAGTTTTGTTGTTGTTGTTGTTAATCCCATGCTAAAAAGAGATTCACAAAAGTTGTTGAAAGGTTGACTGGCTTAGAGTTTACATCTGTCTTAATGGGATACTTTACATTTAGAGATGGGATACATAGCTGGATAGGTTTTCTTTCTTTTGAAGTTGTATCCTCCCTTGACTCTTGGGTTTAGGGACTTTCTAGACATAACTGAAAGCAAGATAGGTTTCCATGGTGTACTGCATATCCACTTTAGCACATTGTCATATCTGCTGTAGTGTTAACTAAAGAATAAAACACTGTTTTCTGTCTTAAAATATGATTGTACATACATAAACAATAAAATATTAATGTATGGCTGTTGTATGAGTGCTAGTTCATCACTATGGATATTTGGCCTTCAGCTCCCAGCTGAATGGTGGCAGAAGTGGTGTAAACCAGCTAAGTAGCTAGTGTAATAGCCATTGAACCTTATCTGAAAATGAATGGGCAACTTTCAAGAACATGTGAAGTCTCTAGGTGTGTTCATTCATTCATTCTGAATCACAGTACATGAAGTTCCATTCCTCCTGGACTTGCTTCTGGGTTAAGTTTTCTCTGATGTTTCCTGGTCATTGGCTAGTTGTTGGAGAATGCCTTTGAGTTCATGTATATTTCACCTTCCTTGGACAGTCATCTGATTTGGGATCTTTAGTAATGGCTTGTTTTATTGAACATTATTATTATTACTTTTTGTCCTGTATGTTTTTGTCAGTAAATCTGCTGTTGTGGAGTAGAAGTAATCGGTACTAGATGATATGGTTTAAGTCTACGTTGTTTCTTAAATGGATTTTCATTAATTTTATGTTTCTTTCAGATTTGGATAAACTTGAAAATTTTACAAGAACTAATGATGTGGAAAACTTATCCCCTTTCCACATTCCACAGAAACTTCACAGAGCATTTATGTGGGCTATTTCACTCCCTATTACTGTACTGTGTTACTTCACTATTCCTGACTGCCGCTTGGAACGCTGGAAGAACTGGTATTTGGTCACATTTCTCATGTCCTGTGTTTGGATATCTGGACTTTGTTACATTCTTGTTTGGTTTATTACTATCATTGGTAGGTTAAAAAAATTTTCTGCTGTTTTAAATTCATAATGATAGTTATATGAAAGATTATTTTGAAAAGAAAAAAATACCTTTAGAATAATGTAAAAAAAAAGCTCAGATTTTAATGAAAATTTTTTAATTTTTCAAAGGAATATCACCTATTTACTGTTTTATGTAGAAATTTAAAAATGTTCTACTGTATCTAATTGATTGGGTAGTGATTTTTTTTCCACATATATCGCAAGTAGAGATTATTTAAACATATTTATTTTTGTAGTCTCTCTAAGTTTTTGTACTGAATGCTCTTCTGTAATAAAGAATATCTAAGGACATTAGTTATTTGGTGTAAAAGTAAAATAGAAAAGGAATTTAAGAAAATTTGACTATGTGAGAAATGTAGCATATGGAAAACTTCAATAAAAGTTTTGGTCTCTTTTATTACATACTAGAGGGAAAGTTTTTATCTTTTTGTTACCACTTTTAGTATTTATGTAAAAAAAACAATATTCTAAAAAATAATAAATGCTCACTATATCAACATTACAAACCTGTATCATTATAAATAAAGCTTTATCTTTAACAATGCTTAAGAGATATACATTGTTATATGCAGTATTAGTTATCAAGGAAGCCCATAACTATTGTATTGCAGTAGGCTTAAGTTTGGTAAGTTTTTCTAAATACACTAAATTTTTCTTTTATAATGTAACAGATAAGATTACAATAAATAACATGTTAAAATCTCTAAGCAATTGGAATAAATTACAATTAAGATGAAACAAGATTTATTATCAGTTTTGTTGAATCTTAGGGAATTGAGCAAGAGTCATTTCTTTCTACTTGTTTTTAAAAGATAAACGTAAATATACTTTTGCTGTATTGATAAATTCCTGCAAGCATCTCAAAGTTAAACCCTGTTGTTAATTATAAGATGCATGCAGTGTATTTTAAAACTTAAATAGTTGAGTATAAAGATTCAGTGTAAACCATGTTTCATGATTTTCTTTAAAAGGTTTCACACTTCACATTCCTGACACTGTAATGGGACTGACATTTCTAGCAGCAGGAGTTAGTGTACCTGATGCAATATCTAGTCTCTTAGTTGTGCAGGAAGGTATGTATGAAGACTTGAATGCAGTGTCACAGTAGAATAATTGGTAACGTTATTGTCGTTAGTGTTTAAATCAGTATTTGATTATCAATCCTCATTATATAGGAAACTATGTATATGTGGTGGTATTTCTTAAATGTGTGAACATTTCATAAGGTTAAGCAAGAAAGATCTATAAGCCAAACAATTGGGCCAGGCATGACCTACTGGTTAATGTCTTGGGCTGCTGATCAAAGACTTATGGGTTTGAAGTGTGATGCTGCTGAACATGCTGTACACTTTAAACTGTGGGCACATTAATCCCATTATTTGACTCCAAGGGTTGGACTAAGCCCTTACAATTTTAGGTGCTGCTGACTGTTTTTGAATGCTCAGAATCAGTGCTTTAAAGACATAGAAAAATTGGTTAAAGACAAGTTTTTATGAAAATGAATAGAGAAAAATATAGTGTGCATTTGAAGTGATGAAGTTTACACAGTTCATTTTTAACGTATCCAAAATGAATTGTAGAGTGAAAAGAGAAAATGCTTAAACTCACTTTTGAGGTAATTGATTAATCATAAGGCTCATAAATCGATTAGTATATACCCCCCTACAACCACACTCCTCCCATACAAGCAGAAAAAGAAAACGTGTGTACTGGTTTCATAACTTTTTGAACCATTGCATTATTCTAACATGGTATTAAAATTTTTTTGTTTGTTAATTTGAATAACTTTTGAATTAGCCTTAATTAGTTCTGAAGAATGCTATTTGCATATTTTGCAAAAAACATTTTTTGCTAAGAAAAATATTTTGACAGTTTTTTTTCTTCTTTATTACCCATTTAACCCATCTCTGAACTGTACAAGTATAAGGAAAAAAGTTATTGTTAAATAAAAAACTTACGGCTGGCTACTGAACTGTAAAAAAGGAATCAAACAAAAATATGGATGGAAGTGGAAATATCACTTGATTGGTTAATAATCATATAGCAATTCTAAGCCATCTCGACTTTACATGGAGAATGAAATCTCTACATTACTGGCTTCCCCAAAAGCTTGGTGTTTGAATAGAATCTCAGCTTTCATCATTATACCTTTCCTTTAGTTAACTTTAGAATACTACTTTTATGACTACTTTACAATAGGGTAACATTTTACAATTGAAAATTCTGGTTGTATTTGTTTTACCTGTGAGGAAGCCACTAATTTAGGGATTTTGTTCTCCATCTTAAGTCAAGACAGCTTAGTCTGCTATGTGATATATCCACTTTCATCCCTACCTGGTTTGGTTCCTTTTTTCAAGATCATTAACCAGCCCTACATAGTTTTTTTATTTAGCAATAAATTTTTTCCTAATATTTGTTTTACTTTTTTTTTATAAGATGGCATACATAGGTTGAATAAAAATAAAATACGTAGTCAAATATTGTGAATACTCTTTTGCTCTATCAAATGATGATAAAATTATTTTTTAATATATATATACACTGAGTGGTCACAAGTAAATAGACACCTAATTTTTCGTCATTTAACTGATTTGTGTTCACAGAGCACTATATACACTGAGCGGTCACAAGTAAATAGACACCTAATTTTTCGTCATTTAACTGATTTATGCTAACTAATTTGTGTTCACAGAGCACTATATGAATGAAAATAGTCCACACACTAATTATCTTGTGCTACAACATGCCTAGAACTCGAGGTTCTCTCGAATTGTCAGATTTTGTTACAGGAAGGATAGTTGGTCAAGCAGATGGTGGAATAAGTCAGCGGTAAATTTCGCAGAATTTGGGAATCCCGCTTTCGACAATCAACAGAATCATCGTGCAGTTCAGGAAACACGGCAAGGAAACAACTGAGCAGCGTCCGGGTCGTCCTAGTCCATTGGAGAGGACAAAAAGGGCTGTCAAGAGGAGCATCGAAATGGATCCCAGATTAACGACTGCAGAAGTGGCCAAAGTTGGTGGGATGAGCCTGAAATCTGTTCAACAGATTCTCCACAGATTGGGTTATCGTTGCAGAGCAGCTAGACAGAAGCCCTTATTAAGAACTGCCAACATGGTCAGTCGAAAGAAGTCTTGTCTTAATGCCACTGGAAAAGAAAAGAATATAGATCAACTTGGAGCACTAGAACCACCCTGCAACAAGTTGTACCTCAACCAGTGCAATGTCTTGTAACAGGTAAGAATACATGAACAGAAATGTCAGAAGTAACAGTATCTAACATAATCAAGAAGGTTCTCCACATGGAAATGAGGCCAACAGTGAGATCACCAAGATAAGGTTGTCAGTCCTACCTCCCTTTGAACTATCACATACCTTTAGGCTCAAGAAGCTGGAGATTGAACTGGGTATTCATTCTTTCCATATGAAGACATACCAGTCAAGTTGCCAGAAGCAGCACTTATCAATTTCTGTGTGATTAGACTCTTGAAATGGCTGCTGGAAAATGATTGTCATTACACACTAAATGGTTATGGAAAAGGTGCAGGAAGGAACATTGTGCTTTGAACTTTACAACCTTATGATGGAGACTTTTGCAATTGAAACTTTGCTGCAGTGCTATTGTCAAGATTCACAGTTATCAGATAAAGCAAAACAACACTGGATATGCTAACATGGGCTATAACAATGTGGTAAGGCTCCAAAATAATATATTTTTTTCACTCGTAACAGATTCAGGAAAAATTTGGAAAACATCATTTGAGTCCTCAGTGGCATGTCTGCTGACTTGTAATGCTAGAAACCATGTTTCAATACCTGAAGTGGGCAGGGCACAGATAGCCAATTGTGTAACTTTGTGCTTAACTACAAACAAATAAACAAAACCACTTTTTTTTTATTTGTATGAAATATACAAGTTAAATGATGATTTCACAAAACGTGCTTCATTAAAGCTTATGCTTACTATTTTCATTATCAACTTTAAAATTTGCTGATCTCATAGATTATACGTATGTATAGAACATAAAGCACAAAACGTGTTATTTTCATATGATTTTTTTGCTCACTCAAATTCAAAGATGTATAGATTATATGTACATGCAGTTTTTACAACTTCTACTATCTAATGAAGTATGTACTTTGTAGTACTCCTATTTACACCTGGATTTTAGACAATATTCATACTGTTGTTTCAGGTATGGGAGATATGGCCATTTCCAATGCCGTAGGAAGCAATGTGTTCGATATCCTTTTGTGCCTTGGATTGCCATGGTTTCTTCAAACAGCAGTCATGAAGCCTGGTTCTTTTGTTAAAGTGTACAGCAAAGGTGGGTGCTAAGTTGTACCTTGAGTTGTCATTATTACTTCAAAGAGTAGTTGTTATTATGGTTTCTTCTTTTAACGACATTTAAAGTATTTCATCTTGTTTTATTTATGGTTGCTTTGGTTATAACTGATGCTTTTCATAAAGTGAACAGTAAATATTAGTGTTGAAAGTAGTGTGATTGATATAATGGTGCTTCTTAGGTTGGCATAATATCCATAAGACACGGTTCTTAAACCTGCATTAGTGGGATAGATATTGGATAAAGGTGTCCATCTCTAGAAGAAAGTGTGAAATTTTTTTATTTAAATATTTTGAAATATGCCATCAATAGTTTCATCTAAAAATGGCAGCCCAACAACTCCCACCACCACAGATTTTTTTGGTATTTTCAGTGAGTGAGTATACACTGATATTTTTTAATTGTTTTATTCATAATTAACTCTTTTGCTGCCAGTAGTTATCTGTTATATGCTGGTGAAAGACATTCAAATGTATTTGTGGTAATATTGATGCATATGACTCAGATTGTATACAGAAAGAACCTCCAAATCAAAAACTTCTTCAAAGAGTCTGTACTTGATGAGCAATATACAGAAGACCCCCAGATACTTGTTGTAATTAGTACAATTGATCATTGGTAGAACAACACCTGAGAACCTATTTCAGAATATTTAAATGCACCGGAATTGTTGCATATTTCACTCAGCTATTTGTTTTCAACTCTATGGAAAGAATTAAGAATGAAACTCAAAAAAGGGAAGCACAGTTCAATGAAGAAACAGTGTTTTTATGTATCTTGATAGTTTGGTTCATAGCCAAACAAGAAAAAGGGATCTTTTGAGTACACTTTTTCATAAAGGATTGTCAGTATCCAATAATAATACTTCAAGCATGGAATTAACAAATTAACATACATTTACTGTTTTATCTTAGTGGTATCTTACACCAGTCATAATTAACAAATTAACATACATTTACTGTCTTATCATAGTGGTATCTTACACCAGTCATTATTTGACTTAAGTGGCTATGCTTACACCATTAACAATACTCATGCACAGGTAGTGAAATTGTTGGAAGATTGATAGTATGAAACATGAAATCAATCTTGGTACTTCCTAATCTTGTTATCAGCCAGCCCATTGCTACATTTGAAACATGAAATCAATCTTGGTACTTCCTAACCTTGTTATCAGCCAGCCCATTGCTACATTTGAAACATGAAATCAATCTTCGTACTTCCTAACATTGTTATCAGCCCATTGCTACATTTGAAACATGAAATTCTGAATACATTTCAAAATGTAGAATTAGCTGGGAAGCATAGGCCTAGTATATGGTTAAAAATTGTACAACTTAAGCATCAATAGGTATTTAGCAATGTTATAACCTGAGCAACAGTAGCAATTGAAACTATAAACCCCCTTGAAAAACACATGATTGAGTATGTTCTGTGATAATAGTGTACATGTAGCCATTGAAGAATTACATAATGACTGGCATACATGTAACCATTATCTACATTTATTGTACAACTTAAGCATCAATAGGTATTTAGCAATGTTATAACCTGAGCAACAGTAGCAATTGAAACTATAAACCCCCTTGAAAAACACATGATTGAGTATGTTCTATGATAATAGTGTACATGTAGCCATTGAAGAATTACATAATGACTGGCATACATGTAACCATTATCTACATTTATTGGTCATATATGATTTCATAATCTGAAAATGTTGAAATTTCGGCAATAAGTTTCCATCTTGCCCTTTGGAAAATCTGCAGCCTTTGGCCAGACTCTCTTTTTTTTTTTGTTCTTTTGCATTGTGCATGCATGAAATATTCTGTTTAATGTAGGTCATCAAGTAGAAAGAAATGACTGTTATTTATACAGTGAATATAAATCTTATTTCTGTTAAAGACACTTGAATTACCACAATTTACTGTATAACAAAGGTTATCATAGTACTGATATGCCTACGTTGTGATTGCTGCCAGGCTTTGCCAGTTAGGGAATTTACTTGCTTAATCTTCACTAACCATTTCATCATGAGTGTTTTAAGTGATTTCAGAATCTGTAAACATGCTATCTTGCAAGGTAAACACTACATTTTTTTTTTCATCATGCATTAGCTTTCATACTTGCTCACTACAAATAGACTTTTAACAAATGAACTCTAGCTAAATGACAGAGATACTAAAAGTCTAATAAGGGTTCATCTGAAATGTGGAAAACAATGTATTGGTTTTTTACTCATGTCAGTGAGATGAAAATGAAATACAATAAAAAAAAAACTTGGGTAAAGTTACCTGAAAAGTATAAATTTTTCAGTCTGTTAATCAATATCCTGTAATAATTTTCTCAATTTGCTGCAAATTTTGTTACTTCATGAAAAATATTAGCAAATGATTTGCAAGAAGATAGGACTCATTTCTTGGGATAATCATCCTCATTTGTGAATGACTGTTTTCACACACGAAATAAATAGTTCACTATTTTTTTGTAGTATTAACAAGCAGTCTTTGACTCAATGGTAGAAAATTACTATTCTGGTAGGCAGTTGGATATCCCATCATACCTGGAAATCCAGAAGTCTAAGAGTGAGGTACGTGGCTGTATGGTGCATGACCCAGAGATCATTTTGCTATACTGCTTTCTCTGATCCAATCGTTAAGGTGTTTCTGGTCTACTAAAGTGGACCACCTGCATGCTGTGATTGTCATTATTTTAATACTTCTCTCTCTCCTTATTCTTCTAATATTCTTGAACTTCACTTAGAAACCATCTTTGTATTCTCCGTTCCTTAGTTGATCTTGGATCATTCTTTTTCACGTTGTCGAGATTCATACCATGCTGAATCATCTTTGCTTTCTTCCTTATTTGTAGACAAGTTGTTGGATACATTCGTAAGTTAACTGCTCCTGTATGCAGATGCTCTTTTCTTTGGGTACTTTACAGCACCTCCTCTGCTGTAGCTTGATAGTTGATCTTGGATCATTCTTTTACACGTTGTCGAGATTCATACCATGCTGAATCATCTTTGCTTTCTTCCTTATTTATGGACAAGTTGTTGGATACATTCGTAAGTTAACTGCTCCTGTATGCAGATGCTCTTTTCTTTGGGTACTTTACAGCACCTCCTCTGCTGTAGCTTCTCTGACCAATGTCACGGCTAACTGATTGAGCAACTCTTGTGCTATCAGGATTGCATCCGCCTCTGCTACACCTGTAACTCCTCAGACATTTTGTTACTTTATATTTGTAGGTTAGTTTTGAATCCAATCTCGTTTCCATCTTGACAAGAACAAGTATTTGAAGATTCTGGCTCATTGTCTCAACAGTTTTTCACATGTTTCACAATAAGTTTAGAAATGGTAAGTATTCTATAAATAATGTACTTCAACAATGCCATGACAGTTTTTTGCATTAGAGTAAAAAAATCGCCCAACTCTACTGACAAAAAATCAATCATAAACTTGTTTGAATGTGATTCAATTACGAATTGACATGTATATATAAAATAATCCAAATTCATATGAATTTTCAGAAATGCTAAATATACTTCTTACAAAATGCACTACCATTTCTGCTGCTGTTGCGTATGAGATGGTTGTCAACATGGATGAAAATGTTTTTATTGTTGTTATTTTTTAAATTTTGCACATTCAAAAATCCGTACATACTGTTTGAGTAAAAGCTTTGCATGGTATTTTACTATAGTAATTAAAAATATGATTGGCTTTAGTTCAGAGTTTTTCAAAAATTGTGGCCGGTGGAGGTATTTATTTTTTTAATGTTACCTTTCATTACTAAGCCTAATATTGGGTATAAAAGAAGACAAGAAGATTATTGCAGTCTTCCAGTGTTTTAATTCTAAAATCGGATATAATAAATTATAAAGAATAAACTCTGGTTGCAGGATAAAAATTTTAATAAAATGAGGTACAGACACTAAACTGGAGGTAAGAGGAGACAAAAATGACATTTTTAGTTTGCCTTGGATGTGTCAAGCTTTCCCAAATATTGATCAAAAATTGACCCACAGTTGTTACTGCTGTACCATCAGGTTCATTTTTATCATAAGTGAAAAGCTATAATGAGTATTTTTGCAACATGTTTCAGGTCACTGAGATGCAGGAAGAGTTATTCAAATAGGTCATACTCAGTACATTACTGGGACTCTACTAATAGTATAGAAACATTCCAAAATTACAAGTCATTGGAGTTGGCATCACCAAAAGGCTGAATTCTGCATATTGACAATAGAAATAAGCCCCCTCAGTTGTTCAGTGATAAATCTGTGGGCTTATAATGCTGAAAACCAGGTTGAATATACGCAGTAGGTAGAGCACAGACATCCTGTTGTGCAGCTTTGTGCTTAATAAACAAACAAAACAGTGTTATTAAAACACCATTTGAGGCATTACCGTTATGATATAAAACAACCTGCAGCAGAATGTTTCCAGTGGTTGGAATAGCAAATTTATCACAACAAAATATGTTATTCTGATATGATATCTTACAACTGTGAACAAAAAGCTTTCTTGACTAGTCTTCTATCAGCACAAATGTTTCGCTTGCTACTAGCCTTGCAACTCTTTCTCCTCGTCCACATTATTACCTTTTTTAAGGATGCTTCTCTTTTTGTTTGGGGAGCATTTCTTGATACTCTGACCACCGACCCTATCAGATCAATAAGCTGCTTTTGCAATGCTATCAGTTGGTTATTTGGATTTTAGGCCTATCGACTGCCAGGGTCATTAAGGCCGTCAATGTGTTGAGACTCCTCAGTAATGGTGAGGATGTGCATGGCTGGAATAATGAAGTGTGCGGCACTTGATTGATTGTTGTGCGGCACGCAGCTTATAGGGAACACTGTTGTATGTCCTGTGGCTGAGATATTCCTCTTTCCTACCATCCTCCAGATGTTGATTCCTGATTGGACCAGATGTTGGTTGGAGACAGTCCAGCTGCGTAAGTCCTTGCATGTATTTGGCTGGTCCCCTCTTCCTCCTGTGGACTGGATGATAAATTCTCAATACCACCAGGTTTTTGATTAGAGATGTTACCCCAAATTGATGTCCCTCCTATTCTTCCTACCATCTGCTGGATGTTAGTTCCCAGTGGATATGGTGTTATTTGAAGTTGGGCAATACAAATGATCACTTGTGTAAGGCTGGCTTTCCTGTTACTACTGCAGACTGGATGTAACATTTCCATTGCCAACAGGTTTTGGACGAGAGATGAACGTTTCCTAAGCTCTCCTTACTTCCTACCATTTGGATGTTGGTTCTTGGTGGACCTGGTGTTCACTGTGTTGGAAGTATGCACATGCGAAGTCAGGTTCTTGGTACGGATGCTCGTATTCCTGTTGAGTACCTGTTTTTGATATGAAAGGTAGATGACACTTTTCTACTGTGGACCTGAGGTACAATTCCAGATACCATAAAGTGTTGGTTGAGGTCGAACTCCTGCTTACAGTCTGTTGCGCTCTAGCCACTTCACACCTGGGGATTCCTTTCCTGCTGATAAATTTTAGGGACCTTCCTTGTTTCTGCATTTTAGGTTTTGGTGACACATTTCTGAATACTTTTTAGAAAATGGTTGTCATTGGACATGAACAACTTTTCAGATCCACCAATTCCCAATCAGTTTTGACTCTTCAAGGACAAGTGGCTGAACAGTTTTTTGCATTCTGATATATATATATATATATAAATATGTTTGTGTAAAAATTTAATTGATGCATCTCATATTTTCTGTGTTATAGTAGTCTTTTTTTTTCTTCTTTTTTTAAATTTTTGTCTCTTTTTTACTGATAATGTAAATTAAGAACAAAATTTCACAAAATTGAAGGCTAATTTTAACTCAACCCAGAGGCTACTTTAATGGGAAGTAACTAAAAGTTTGCTTCAATCACATGTAAAGTCAGAGACTGTTGGTACTTTTCTGAACTTTGATAAAACTCTTTTATTTTTTAAGGTTTGACATATTCAACTGTGACTCTTCTATCAACTGTGGTGTTTCTACTGGTGGCCACACACTGTAATGGGTGGAAACTTGACAAAAAGTATGGAGTGATACTTTTTATTTGGTACCTCCTTTTTATGGTGTTGGCAAGCCTATACGAGTTAAACGTCTTTGGTTACTTCAACCCACCTGAGTGTCCGAGCAATTATTAAACAGTACAGTTTCATCCATGTATCCTAATGCCTACAGAACGGTTATGTGATATGTATAACATTTCTTTACAACTTCAGGGAAACTTCTCTACATACGTACATCAGTAGCTGCTAAACGGAAGAGTTTTATTTGTCACTGTAACTTCCAAACTAGAAAAATCATGTATTCATTTTGTGAAAACACTAGAATTAAAGTTATTATAATATTGCTACACTGCTTAAAACTTCTATTAGAGTTTTTTTATGCATTCCAGTTTTGAAAAGGGAAATGAAGATGTGAATTTAAGTAAAAAAGTTGTAATAATGGTATATAGTTTTAAGTCTGTATTTGCTGTTACTGTACATTTCAATGATAGTAAATGGGGAAATGTGTTTGCTCTCTTACTTCAGTCAGTGAGAGTGGGCAAAATTTTGTGAATGTTTGCTTCATTTTTTTGTATGATTCAACTTGATTTGAAATTGGATTGTATTTACTTTATTATACATACATATATATACGTTGTTGTTATAGAAAATATAACGAGTATTTTTATGGGAATGAGCAGCATCCTACGGTTTATCAATCACATTTAAGAAATATGTCTACACATGTATACTTTGTTAATATCTTCCTATAGTTTATGATGTATTCAAAATATATATGTAATACGAGTACAACACAAAATTAAGAAACTTGTTTTTACATGGCTACAGACTTGTTTCATCAAAACTGTTACCAATAAACATCAAAATATTGATTATATTTGCCTTATTAAATAGTATTTCAATGTACATTATTAACAATATATTTATATCAAAGTTTTTTTTGAACTTGTGTGGTATTTGTGTTAGCGTCATGAACTTAGGTAAGTTTTTGGGATTCCAGTTAATAAAAATAAAAAGGGGTTAAAAACTTGGTCGGTATAGGAATGTAATTTAAGATATAGAAATATAAATGTAACTACCCAATTTTTAGTTAGTTCTTTATATCCCTCCCTCTTCTCAATGGCTCAGCAGTAAGTCTGCAGGCTTATAACACAGAATCTGACTTCGATACTTGCAGTGGGCAAAACACGGGTAGGTCATTGTTTAGTTTTATGCTTAATAACAAACAAATCATCATATATTCAAAAATTTATATATTTTTCACTTTCCTGTTTCTGTGATATTCTGGATCTAATGCATACTAAATTTAATAAGTGACAAATGTTCTAAATAAGTATATCTGAAAGTTAGTTCATCTCTAGAAGTAATGTTCCAGCTCCTGTGAAAGATTCACTATAACTGGTGGTAGTAGCAGAAATTGGATGTAACCTAACAGAAAAGGAAATTGTACTGGAACCATGTTATTTTTGTTTCCAAATTAATCTAATTTAAACCAAACAGAGTGAAATCCAGATTTTGTACAAGCTACTTTTCAGGAAAAGAACCAGGAGTTTAATTTAATCTAGTCAGCCACTGTTTAATTCTTGATGTTGTAATTACTTAAGTAATGGTAGTTACAAGCCAGTCGGAGAAAATTTGCATTTACAGTTAAGCCAAAATGTTATATAGTAATAGGCATAAAAACAGAAGTTTGAAAAACTCTAAAGGGGAGGTTGTTAAATAATACACACACAGCCTAATGTACTTTCTTAAGGACTCTTGCATCAAATGTTGGGTTTTTAATTATTTTTTATCTTTCTACTGATTTTGCTTAGTTTACCTTCAACTTGTCTTTTAAGTAATCATATTTTTTCCATTTTTCGTGAAAGTTTTTAGTTTTCATTGAAGTTTCTGCGAGTTATAACTAGTGACCCATTTTGGGGTATTTAAGCTACATTCTTTTGTAAATGGTAAAAATTTTTTCACTGCAATTTTGTAGGTTTTTTTTTTAAAACCTGTGTAATAAGATTCTTTTGATATTTCATTATGAACATGTTTTTAGCATATTCTTTTTTGTCACACAAACATTAATTTTTTGGGTTAATTTGTGATGGCAATTGTTTTCTTTGATCGTATGTTTAGATTATTAAAAAATCTTGTTAATGTTCTTTATTTATTTAGTAAACTGCTTCTTGGTCTTTCCTAGAATTGTAATTACTAGTGATGCATTAAGAAGGATAAAGGAATAACTGCTTGGTTGACTTTTGAAAAGTAAAAACAGGACAGAAGTCATGTTCTTGTTAAAAGTGGGAAAAGTATGTAAAGATTTCATTCCACATTTTTCTATCTGAAAATCTTTCAGTTCTTTCTTTCCTCAAACTATGTTGTACTTCTTGCCAATTTTGGTCAAGATAATTTAACTTAAGCATCCAATCAGATCATTTAACTAAAGATGCAGATTGATTGATGTCCAGATCTTACCCTCACAGAACATTGATTCATAATTCAGTTCCCATGAAAGTTTCTGAAATTTTTCTTCCAAGTTCCCATAAACTAGGCCAAGCATGTTGGAGTATGGACCTGACAGTCATTGTTCAAGTCCTGTTATCACCAAATAATTAATCTTGCTCTGCACTTTGGGGCCACAATTTGGTCAGTCAAGATTTCCCAAGAGCAAGAGTTAGTGCTGTTGACTAACTATCTTCTCTCTAGTTTATATGTTTAAAATTAGGATGGCTAATGCAGATAGCTTTTGAGTAGCTATATATGAAAAGAAAAAAAAAAACACAAACGTTTATGCGATCAATTATCTAGGCCTCTAAAAAAGACAAAAACAATTGGCTGATTGGTCATGCAGGTTCTGATAAAGGTTAATTTGATCATTTATTCAGATCATCATGATGGTATTTCATTGCAAATTTTATTAAATCTTCTCTTATTATACAAGCTTCAACTTACTTTGTTTTACTCTCTGTGAATGCATTATTATACAAGTGATTTTGTTGATGAATATATATATATATATCATAGATCTGAAAATTAGTTCTTTAAAACATTTTGATAGCTGTGAACTTTTTGTTATCTACTTGTGGTTTCATCTTACTTTCTTTCTGTTAGCCATGACATGGAAAAATAATTATGTATTATATTATTTATTTATTATTATTTACTTAATAAGCAATCTCAAGTACTTCCAAGATGCAATTAAATTAATAAGACCTGAACATGTTACAGTTAGGTGCAATTATTTTTCAGTTATTTGGCAATGTAATATATTGTAAAGTATAATGGTCATTGTTATGCACATGAAGCTGATGCTGTGATAGTCCAATTTGTCTTGTGTTCTCAGACTATCAATAATTCTCTGTTTTGTTGCTAAAAATGTGAAACACCTTATTCTAAGTATTAATCAGGCTGAACTGTTTCCTGAATATTTAAATTTTTGACGCTTTTTATGAGTTTGATTTTTAGATAATTTTGAATGATTTTGTTTTTGTAGTGACTGAATAAAAGAACTACTTTGTAAACTTATGAATTAAATTTTGATTGTTCCATTTTAATTGGATTGATAGCTGTGGGAGTGTGTGTGGTAATATATATTAAGGTATGTACTTAACCTACAAGTAGTGAAGTTATTGGAAGGATAAAAATATAAATTTTTGTAAGAATAAGTAACAAAGCAGTTTATTACTTTGTTGACTTTTCATTTTTATAAACATGAGATCAACCTCCAAGCTGAAAGCCATATTTATGCACATTTTCAGCTGCGGTGCAACTATTGAAAAAAATGTGTTGAGAAGTTCCATGATAGTTTTGAGTGAATAACTCAAATTTCATGGTATGCTATTCTGGAGATATAACATCTTCATTCAGTACAGTTACATTGAACTCCCTGTGTAGTTAAAGAGAATTATACACGCATGTAGAGAGTGTTACCTGAAGCTGTCAGGCAAGTTATGATTGGGTAATGTTTTTCTATTGTTTGACACTACAAAAGAATGCCAAGTAAGAAATCAAATTCAATTATGGTTATTTAAACATTGTGATGTGTATCTTACTGAGTCTTTTCCTCAAATATTTTATGATGATGGTATACTTTCAGAAAAAAATTTTTCTTATAACATTGCAAATAATACTTTTAAATAAGCATCTCTACAGCTGTCAAAACTTGTCAAATAGTGGAGAATGGTACTGAAAACTTATAATTTTGAAATTCCGAGGAAACAAATTTTACCTCACTTCCTTAGCTAACCCAAATTGTCAGTTTGTAGAAAAAAAAATCTGACCATTTTTATATAAGTTATTCTTTTGTGGCTTACTGTTTACACATTTTCTTGAATTCCTTTGAGATGTATTTTATTGAACCTTAAGATAAATATTTCTGATAAAACTTAAAATTGTAACCGATGTGTTTTAGTATTCTACTCTCTTGTAGGCATGTGTATTTTATGATATTATAATGAAAGCGTTTTTTCTTTAATCTTTCTAGTTTTACACTGTTTATCTTGATGAAACCAGTTTCTATAAATATATGTATCGCCACTGTGATTAGCTAGCATTACATAAGCTTCACGTAGGACAGACTTCTTTTTCACTTGCTAATATGGAATTGCTCATCTTGCACTTGTGGTGTTCTATTTGATATTTTATCTGGTAATTTTGCAGGTATTTCTGGGAAATTTGGTTTTTATTGGTTAACAAGCACAATTTTCACATAAAAGTTGATATAAGGATATTGTGAAAAAAACATTTTACTGGAACGATTTAAAGGCCAAATTAAAATTACAAGTTTGTAAACTCACCGAGTTTATGACTAGAAATGGGTTTTATATATGTTATATGGTGAATGATTAATTGATATTTTAAGTAAAAACATTTCTCAAGTAATCCTTTTGTGGTTCTTGCTTCTGTGTTTGTGGTCAGTGTTTACTGAAGATGGTAGCTGTGTAGAAGGATAACTAAGAAGAGATTAGGTATTTTACTTAAATTTTAAATATGTGAATTTAATAATATGATTATTTACAACATTGAAGTAGGATCAGTCATATACTGTTTTACTCTGACTTAATAACTAAAACGTTGTTTGATTTATAAAGTAAACTTTAATGTGTTTTTTTTCTTTAAGTTAAAGTGTAAATGATTTTATTACAATTGGCCAAAGAAGTGCCTTTCCGTGAAACAAGAAAAGTGAAGAATTAGTTTAAATCTGGCCTGAAAAGCAGAGTATGACAGGAGTAAAACAAGAAGCAACTTGGCTTGTTATATGCTTCAAAAGTGTTAAGTATGTTACTGGTTTTCATCTACAGCTTTTAATAAGTAACGGGCAGAATGAAGTTTTGGTAAACTAGAAACAAAATTTTATATTTTCATGTACACAAATCCTTTGCCAAAAATTACTCACTTTTTTTGCTCTGATAACCATGGAATCCTAATTTCTCAGAGGTATCTTATGATGAAGTGTATTTAAATGTAGAATTTATGCTTGTGAAATTAAATTGGTGCACTATATTTCCATCTATTAATAGTAATTCCATAATAAATGTTGTTTTCCATCTTTCAAAACTATATATATAATATACATGGTTAGCTCTTTATTGACAATATATAAAATTTTAGGCCAAGTTTCTTTCACTGAAATTATATTTTTTTACGTCTATTTTTTGTGACACGACGTTTTGTTTATAGATCATGGATTGGATATATTTATTTCAATATATCGCATGAAGGATCATGGTATTTTAGCTTTGCTGTCTTGCAGCTGTTATGATCTGTATACTTTGCATTTTAATTTACAGTGTAAATTTAGGGAAAAAAAGAAATAAAATATATTTGTGCCTTTATTCACCTTGCTTTTTAATACTAAAATGTGTGTCGTAACTTCTGCAACTGGTGCGTTTTTACTGGAGCAAACGTCATAGAAGATGCATCCTTTTCCCGTGTCTCATAATTTTGAATAACAATTAGCTTATCGATTGGCAAAACTGGCGCTGTTCGTAGTTTGATTGGTAAGAAAAACTTAACTAAAAAAGTGAATAATAGGTTGAACAATCGCCAAGGTTTTACTATTTGAATTTAAAGAAGGATGACGTTTCGAGCTAGCGCTCTTCGTCAGATCGTACAGCTCACAACAAAGGCGCATGCGCAGAATTCAAAGAACTTGCGTGCGTAGTATTTGGAATGTTGAGCGTGAAAATTACGTCTGTTACATCTAATCTTATAAAGGAGCTTGCGATCTATACGTCCAAAACTCGGAACTACCGCACCGATCCTCAACCATTTATAACTGAGTAATGTTTTTATAACTAGGCAATAAATATAACAATTGAAATTTCCACAAAAATTATGTTTCAGATTTAACCAATAAAAATTACAAACAAAAAGGAGTAAGTTTCACATATAAAACAATCAAAAAACAAGGTTTTAAAAAATATATTTGTTTTTCTATAGTGAAAATCTCGTGAGTTTTGCAACAGAAAAGCAAGGCACATTTTGATAATTGCGTCTACAAAGTGCGGGTTCGAATCCGCGTCACACCAAACATGCTCGCCCTTTC